ACTGGTCCCAGTAGGGACCCTTGAGGGTCATGCTTGGACTCAGTGTGTCACTGGTGAGCCTACCCTCGTTTGAGCCAAGTGGTCCCCACTCTCAGCTGAGAATGTGTTCTAGCATTTCTGCCTGGTATTCCCCTCAGAAACAGGAGGTAAACAAACTAGTTCAAGTTACAATTAAAATATGCTCAGGTCTAGCACTATGGCACAACTTGTCTTCTCTTCACCTGGATTCTGAGGAGAATTCCAACTCACGTGTTGCTGCAATGCAAAGAAAGTTCCTATGAGCCACGAGTTATTTTCCTCTCCAATTTCAAAGGCAGACATGCATTCTGATGCTGTGGTATGCCATGCTGCATACTGCATCACAGTCAGACATCAGTAGAGCAACAGAAACTGCAGCAGCTCCCTTTACCTCATGAGCACAGAGGAGACCTTAACAGCTCATACTCACCTGCTGCTTCCCTGTCAGACCATATCTGCCAATGATTTTTCTCATCTCCTCCTTCTCCTTGATCTCTGGGTAGCATTTCAGCATGTACTCCAATGGTGAGAGGTCTAAGTCCAACTGCTCTTGCAAGTGCTGACATAGAAAAAAAAGACTGTGAGTATCTTCAGAAGGCTGTGCAAGCCACCCACTTCATGGCCAAAAGTACTTCCTCTGAGTACCCCTCTGGTACCAGCTGCACAACAGAACATCAGAGCCAAGAACCCCACTCAGAAAAGTCACCATGGTGAACTGTTAGGGAAGGAAGCTCCATTTCAGGAGCAGCTGTGCTGCTTCAGAAAAGCAGGCTTGTCCACCAACAAGCACAAGGCAAATCACCTCTCCCATAAAGGGTGAGAGGCTGAACAGAAAGGACCATAAGCCTCTTTCCAGGGTAAGAACCTTTGCTAGAGCCCTTTGCCCATCTCTAGGCACAGAAGGGCAGCAATGGCAGGGCCCTTAGAAGCCAAAATAGAGGGGGAAGATTCCTCCTTCCAGACAGCTTTCTCCTCAGGATTTCATGCCCCACGTGGCTGCTGCAGGGAGTACCTGGTGGTATCTACCGATCTTCACGTGCGAGTGCTTGCGAATCATCCCATCTGTGGGCAGCAGCTGGAAAGGGAAGATAAAAGCATTTCACCAGGAAATCCCTCCCTTTGCTGTATGCCTGAAATACAGAACCCAGCCATCTCTGCTCTGGCACAGAGGAGGCAGCCAGAACAGACAATGTCAGAGAAAAAGCCCTATGCTGCACCAGTATTTTAGGATTTCCAAGGCCTGACTAGGGTACTCTGGCACATACTTGCAGCTTTGTTGAAGAGTACCCCAAGAATTCAGGTCCAGACCAGGGCAGACAATGTAGGTAGCATACCTCTCCTGTAAGCAGTTTCAGCAGTGTTGACTTCCCAGCTCCATTGGGTCCAACAAGAGCTACACGAGTATCCAAGTCAATCCCAAACTCCAGGTTATTATAGATCCATGGCTGTAAATCAGAAAAATCATGACACATATTATGCCTTTCTACAACTACCCAGAACCTCCATGCTGCACCTGTAATGCTCTGCAGACTCAGCATTAACCCTGCCAAGAAGTTTGATCCACTCGTCACATGCTGCAGCCTGATCAGAAGCTTGTCCAAAAGCCTCACGCTGCCCAACAAGGCAGGGATAGATACAAGTAATCTCCATACAGCCCATGCACACTCCCCACACTCACCCCATCCTTGGTGTACTTGAAGCTGACATTCTGCACCATGATGACAGGAGGGGGGATTTTCCCACATGGCGGGAAATAGAATGACAGGGTCTGTTAACACAGAACATCTTGTTAGACACCTGTAGGCCAAGGCACCAGACTGTGACTTTTTGTGAGCTACTCTAGCAACTTACTCAGATTTATTCTGATGAGTTGCCTGCAGGCTTAGGAGCAGGCTAATGAGGCCCTGTTTCTTTCCTTGAAGCAAATGTGGGCTTATACTTTTCGAACAAGTAGGAGTTGCTCTGACCATCCCCCCCCCCAAATCTTCTCCAACCCTTAGACATTCATTTCTGATTTCTGTCTTTGATATGACACATCCCCCTCTTTCCCCTAGTAAATTACTCCTCCTTTTTCCACTCTTCAGCATTGCACTATCTTTGGTACAGCTGACCTTGGCCTCAGGAAGGCTGTACCCTTTTTGCTCCCAGATGTGTCAGCCATTCCTTTTTTTTTTGCTGTCAGCTAAAGACCATTCTACTTATCTAGAACATGTGTCTGATACTGAACTCTAGATGCAATCTCATGTCTGATCCTACCTTATCATTCACAACTCTCTCTGTCAAGCCAGAAGCCATCATTTTTTGAAGGGTCTTCTCCTTGCTCTGAGCTTGCCTGGCCAGCTTTGCACTACCGTGACCAAATCGTGCAATGTAATTCTGCAACAAAACACAGTCAGCCGAAAGCCACAATGACAAGGCTGAGGTGCAGGGATGCCCACCTGCATGGGTAGAAGGATGTTCATGCAGCTAGGCAGATACCTTCATATGGGCAATCTGATCTTGCTCCCAGTGGAATCGCTTCATTTGATTTTCTTCTAGTTCCAAGCGAGTCTTTACGTATTGATCATAATTTCCCTAGAAAGAGACCGTAAAGCATCAGACGTGCCCCAGAGAAGAGCTCCTCTGTTTTTGCTGGTTGTGCAGGGCAGCATTTACTCACTGTGTAGTACTTCAGTTTGCGGTTGTGCATGTGGATTATGTTGGTGCAGACACCATTCAAGAAGTCCTGGGAGTGGGATATCAGCACAAGGATCCGCTTGAATCTGTGACACCACATAAGTTA